GCCTCCACCCAAATAGCAATGGCCTCCACCCTACTAGCGATGGCCTCCACCCCAATAGCAATGGCCTCCACCCTAATAGCCATGGCCTCCACCCAAATAGCGATGGCCTCCTGCAGTACCAGGATAAACCACCTTTCCAGCACTGGGGTCCAGAACTGCTTTGCGCAGCCTTCAGTTCCAGCCTGTGGTCGCCGAGCTGTGCTTGGGTGTGCGACACGGAGCAAACCTTGGGGGATGAGCCCTCCAAAGATAGCCATGATATGAAGAGTAGTTCTCAGCAGGTCCAAGGCATGTTGGCAAAGACTATGATTTTTTGGGACTGAAAGTGCCAAACATCCTGACAATCAACCTCCCACAAAACAAGACCTGAATGTATGGATGGGTGGAGTTCCTCAAACGGGAAGACACTGAAACCACGATCCTTTGATCGCTTCCAGTCCCCGACACGAAGGTCTGAAGGTCGAAAGCTCCAACTTACTAGCAGTGGCTTCCAACCTTGCGATACACACACCAAATTTGTAGGAACAAGTGCATCGCTACTAGGAACAAAGAAGCTATTAGGTAAAAAAAAAACAGAATGGAAGCGACTGGGGAAGTAAAGGAACTTATAATTTTCAAACGCCACACACACACACACATACTCACCTCTAGGGCTGCAGGACGGTGGCACCTAGGGCAGCACATGAGTCGAATATCAGACTGCCCTTTTCCCCCACAACCGCAGAACCGAGCTCGAGCGAGCCACAAGGGCGTAGCTCGAGCTCCTGGAAACACTGAGATCCCAGCTTGAACCCCTAAATTCCATCGTGAAGCCTTGCCTTTTTCTCCTCTGGGCTTCTGCTCGGTTTCTCTGGGCGGTCCGGACTTCTTGTAGAGGTTGAAGGGGTTCTCCGCCGCATCTAATCGCCCGAAGCGGCTCAAGGTCCCATCCGGGTCAAAGAGTCGCATCAGCAGCGTGTTGATGCGCTCCTGCAGCGGAAGACAGAGCGTTCTTTTGAAGCCCGTGGCCCTGCCACTGGCACTTGTTTCTAATGGCTTTTTGTTACTACTAGTAAGGCACCTGTTACTACTAGCGTGGCACTTGTTCCTAGTAGCTTCTTGTTACTACGTGGCCCTGCCTCCTTATACAGTTAATTAAGGGAGTAAGCTACTAGCAATAGGAAGCTCCTAGCTAGGACGCAGGATAGCTCACCCTTCTTCACGGGAGGGAGCTTCCTCGAAGAAGCGCTCGCACTAATGATAGATTTTTAGGGACACTTAACTTCAATGCCGTCTTTGCTTCTTTTCTGTTGGCTCAGCACAATTGGGACTTTTCCTGCATGGCTCGTTTCCCTTCTAAGTTGTTGACAAGGACTCCCCACTCATCCCCTCTCTTCGCTGGCAATATGTGGGCCCTGCACTGCGTGGTTCATGAAGAATATGGCTGGTCACACACGACTACTATCCTGATTGTCTTTGAGCCTGATATCCATTTCTATGATAACAAGATCCACATGACAGCAAGTTCTGCTTGTCAGTGGATGGCTGTCAGCTCACACTTATACTGTTACTACATTTAATGAATGTACATATACCGTGGCAACTCAGCTCAGAACTCAAGACTACTCGTGGCAAACTCCAAGCTACCACCGCAGGGTTGAAACACCAAACGTGTTGAGAGGGGAAAGAAGCCAAACATGAACGCCTGTGCTCCAATGATTCGTCTCTCAGTGGGAGTCTACAAAGGAACATGCCACATCGAATCTGACCACATGCACCTTGATGGACCCAAATGGGTCTTGGAGAGGAGTCCGGAAGCGCAGAAGCGCCGAACGGGCACCCGAGCCATGAGAGCTTGTCGCAGCGCCCATTCGCCGGTCTTCTCGCCTGGGTTCTCACCCCGCGGAGATCTTCGCGGATCGGCTCGACCCCAAAAATGGGACAGGAGCGATCGGACGCTACGAACGGAGCTTGATCCGGAAGGATGTACTACAGAACAAAGTAGGTTGGAGGCCGCTATTAAGTTGGAGATGTGAACGGGTCCGACTTGCTGTCGATCACCGCGGCTCGAGTCGCTGGAAGGCCTTTTGTAGGCTTTGGGTGGTGAAAGAGATCAGAGGCCCTTCTTCATTCCAGTCATCTCATCACTTTTCCCCCAAAACCAATGAAATCTGCTTTTTGCCCATCTGGAAGAAGACCTTGATCTTTCAAAGACCCCATCAGACCGAATTTCATGTGATTCGTGTGGAAGGCAAGGTTGAATCCAGGTAGTGCTCCAAGAAAACGGCTGCCCCGTGAAGAAAGCGGATGCTTTGGAACTTCGGGTGTCACTGGATGGTTGTAACTCGTCTGCCTGTTGCATTGCTTAGCTACTAGGGGCTCCTGGCCTTACTACTAGGAGCAAGGACGCTTCTAGGGGCTCCTGGCCGCATGTATCTAAGATTATACCAGCGCATACCAGGGCCCGCTAGTATAGGGGTGTCTAATGACAGCCCCTTAGAGATTAAGGGGTCTCCATTGACCGCCCCCCTTTATGGGCTCTTGTATAAAGCACGTATTGTTGCCTGGAGCCCCTAGTGGCGTCCTTGCCCCTAGTAGCGGTGCCAGGAGGCCCTAGTAGCGAACATTGTTACCAGTAGCTACTTGCTCCTAGTAGTACGGCCAGGAGCTCCTAGTAGCGAATGGCCCAGCCAGGAAAACCTTCTCTTCAAGAGTGCGGCTACCAACTACCCTCTTGTGACGCGGCCATTCCCAGGCTACATGCGTTTCTTCATTCCACATTTGCTGTATAGCCAAGCTCTCCCAGGCATCGCCGTCAGGCTGTCCGAGGGCTGCGCCGAAGAGACTCGGATACTGAGATTCGAAGCACACTTCGATGCCATACTTGAGCCTCAAAACACGTTTTGGTGCGGGGTTGGAGGCCATCCCTATTTGGTTGGAGGCCTAATTATTGACTTTGGGTTTATCAAGTAGGCTCAGAACGGCCTGCTTTCTTTGTTGAACGGATCGGGGCGAACACGTTCGGCTCCTTGACCTTCCGTCGATGGAAACACCCCGCTCCTAGCGGTGCGGTCTGCAAAAGCCCTTGAACAACAAACATGGCCCTTAGCTTCTTGTTACTAGTAACGTCCTTGTTACTACTAGTAAGGCACTTGTTACCACTAGCGTGGCACTTGTTCCTAGTAGCTTCCTTAGAGCCAGTTGTGGAACATGGAAGAGGGTCTTCAGGAAATTTTCCACTGTGCAACATGTGAAGCCTTTTCATCTAAAAAGCCAGCCAAAAGATAGACATTTTGCACAGTTGGAAGATCTAGGTATAGAACTGGGATGAACCGGTAGCTTCTTGTTACATCTTGTTTCTAGTAAGGCACCTTCCTGGGATGAACAGGGTATCGGGATAAACTTTCTGAAAACCACAGCTCCCCTTTCAGCGCCCAAGCTTCGATTCCCATCGCTCTGATTTTTTCGGGTGCCCCTGCGTGAGTAGAAGGCAAGGCATCGCCAAGCTGATGCCTGGGGTGCTGCATGGTTCCACGTGATCTGAAACACGGTGTGGACCATCCGAAGAGGCCGAAGTCCTCCCAAAAGACCACTCACTTCTCTTCATCGTTAGGGTGGAGGCCACTCACTTCTCTTGCTTCAGGGTCGGTGCCTGCTGGTGATCCCATGGGATTTCAGCACAGGAACACCCATGCCCCTTTGTGGAAACTTGTGAACAACGGGGGATGGGTCTATGGAGCCACCATGCAAACAGGGGATCCAGCTATTTCACACTCAAACCACCATCATGGAGATTGGGGTTAGCGGCCATGTCTCTTTTGTATCCATGGTCAGTAAGTTCATCATTTCTTCACACTCTTCACCAACGTTATGTCTGAGCCCTCAAGAAGTCACTTCGCCATAAATCAAAATTATGAAGGACATGTGCACAGGAAGCCTCCTCTAATAAACATCTATACATCCCATACATTTTTTGAAGGTTGTTTTTGCAGGTAGTTCATGTAGTCATCCTCCACAAACAGTATCTCTAGTGTACTGGAGGACAACCCAAACTTTTAAGGACTTCCTCCTTCTAGTCAAGTGTTGCTTTCACTATGATTGGTCAGCATGTTCGAGCGCCCCTGCCCAACTTGCTGTTCTTATATCTCCGCTCCAAGCTCACCCACTGCCTCGGGAAACAAACTACTAGGGGCTCCTGGCCTTACTACTAGGAGCAAGAAGCTACTAGGGGCTCCTGGCATCGCAACTAGTAGCATTCTTACTACTAGCAACAAGAAGCAACAACAACAATTTGGGTGATTGTTCCGCAGAAAGTGCTGCCCGATCGGGAGATCCAGTGAGCTTGGAATCCACCGACGATTGCTTTGGCCTCCAACCTCCGGTTGTTACGAACCGTAAAAGGCAAATGACAGAAAGAGCTCAGTGGTTGTTACGAATCGTAACAGCTGATAGGCCAGGCCTTATAGATTTTAGTCGCAGTGTGTTCATACACATCCTCTTTGTACATTGTCAACTGCCGCTTGCCTCTTACCCTTTTACTGTAGGACCTGGATAGTTGTTTCTACATTTTCGTTCTTCCTTTCGGCTGTGATGTCTGGCCTTGAGGCATCCACAAACACAATCAGAAAACAAACAAACCCAGAGTATAGTTTCAAAGGACTGCTGGCTAGTTTATGTCTTATCACCGTACTCTTTGACACTAGGGCATTCCTCGAAAGAAGTTCCTCCGAGTTCGTCCTTGGTTTGCCATGAACAAGAACTACGTTCGGGGCTCCTGGCATCGCTACGAACGGAGCATGGACGCTACTAGGGGTTCCTGGCCTTACTACTAGTAACAAGAAGCTACTAGTAACAAGGGCATCGCTACTAGTAACAAGAAGCTACCCCCTTGTCCCCACTTTTCGGGCCAAGGCTTTGGAGAATAAACACCGCGTCGCAGTTTTGAGGAAGATCCTTCTGGGAAGACCGTTCCGAACGTGTCCGCTTTGTTTGTATCTATAGTATCTATAGCAACTTTCTTCTTTGGCTGATGATGGCTTTAGCCATTCGGCGATCCTTCCTGAACTTTCCACCCGCCTCAGTTTGATGCCAAGGACCAAACATGGTTCCTTGAACACAGCTTCGTTTGTCGAAGGAGTTGCTTCGTTGATGTTGAACTGCCGAAAACCACAGGCTCAACTTGCCCAACCCTGGAATCAAAGTGTGCCCCAACTTTTGAGACATGATGTCCCCCGGAGTCATGCAAAACAGGTCTGTCCGCCTGCCATTGGGCTTGTGCGGCACTCGTGTGGCACTGGGCTCGGGACTCGTGTGCGGCTGCCACCATTCCTTGCAAGGCATGCCTTGAAGAAGCGCAACGAGCCAATCACTTGTGGACATGAGAGACAGCCCCAAAGATCAGGAGGAAAAGAAAAGATCACTGGTCCAATGTTTCCCACCCAAAAAACACGTATTGCAACCACTGAGTTCATTGTGAGGAAGGATTTGGGGTCAACCTTATTCCCCAAATAGTGTGGTCGAGTAGGGGTTCTTACTGTACGTGTTAAGGCCGGGTGTTTGATCAATGTGCTCACCAGGACGTTCAGCCAAGTATCTGCTATTTACGCTACATTCATGCTCCTCAAAATGTTCTTTCGACTGCGCAGGCTCGCAAAAACTGCTGGGCACGAGCGGGTGCTTTCCTCAACCACGCCCTCGTTGTGGTGCCGTGCGCATTTTCGGACTTGGTGGCGACTTGTTGTGGCAGCGCAGGTTCTTTTTTGTGCAGATTTCGTGGCAAGTGCAGCGCTTTGGACATGGTGGTGGTCTTCGGCGTGCTCTGATTGCAAGGTTTTGATATCTTGATGTTGTCTTTGGAAATGCATTTGCTGCGAAACGCCTTGGCAGGGCTGCGCGAGGTGAATCTTCATGTGCAGATTTCGTGGCAGGCGCAGCAAATGTGCTATCATATGCGGTGTGCTCTCATATATGTGCGCTCTCTAGACCTCTAAGATCTCAAGACCTCTACATCTCTAGACCTCAAAGACGCCGAGACCTCTAGCTTTCTAAGCCTCAGACTTAGACAACCTCTTGATACCTCTGTATCTCGACTCTACATCTCTACATCTCTGGACATGAAGATCTCTAGATTTCTAGGCACCCACAACTCTAGATTCTCTGGATCTCAAGACCTCTATCTCTAGACCTCTCAAACTCTAGATCTCTAGGTCTTAGACCTCTAGGTTTCTAGGCCTCCAGACCAGCTCTTGATATCTCTGGATCTCAAGACAGACCTCTGAACCTCTGCTTCTACACCTCTAGCCTTAGACCTCTAGACCTCAAGAGCAGGGGCAACAGGACGCTACTAGGGGCTCCTGGCCGTACTAGGAGCAAGAAGCTACTAGGGGCTCCTGGCCTGATCTTAGACCTCTAGACCCTAGTAGCGTCCTTGCTCCTAGTAGCGATGCCCTTTGTTCCCAGTAGCTTCTTGTTAATTTGTTACTAGCAGCGATGCCAGGAGGCTCTAGTAGCTTCTTGTTACTAGAAGCAAACATCAAGAGCAAGGGCATCAATGTTCGGAGTCTGCCGGGACAATTTTTGATCACGGAAGTCTATGGTCATACCCGGTGGATCTCCTGCTGTATCGGTCCCAAGTCGAATCGAACTGGCAGCTTTCCAACAAAAACGTGACAAATTACAGTATGACAAATGATTTACAGTATGGTACACTCGGACTCTTTAGAAGCACATCAAAATCATCCAACAAAACCCCTTCATTCTCCACCTGAGGGTCTTTTCATCCCTCAACTCTCGGAGAGACACACCGACCCCACCACCGCACCAAACCCCGGACTCCACTCTGGGGCGCAGCGCTGACCGAGCCGAGGATGCTCCGGCCTTTGGGCAAGGACGCGACGAACGGAACGGCATCGCTACGAACGGAGCAAGATTTGCCGCTGAAACCACTGATCCGTCCAAACTCACAGGGCTTGCGCCCTTGGCGCGTGATCCGCCCCAAATGCCAAACCGCCGCCGACCGCCGCGAGGGGCGCCTTCGACAGCAAGCGAAAGCCAGCCAGTAGAGCAAGTGCGCCAGCAAGCCAATCAACTGACAAACCTCTGTCCTGGGCGACCGCCCAAGAAAGGATTCCGCACTGGCCACTCTTCACTTCCGACTGGTCGTGTGGGAGCTTCCAGTACAGTTGTCCTTTTTGTCCAGGCTGCTACGTACTAGGTGGAGGCCATCGCTACTAGTAGCAAGAAGCTATAGTAACAGCTCCTCCCATCTTCCGACTTGGGAGGTTTACGCTCCCGTCGCCTTCGCCTTGATGTCTTCCCTTCGGAAAAGCTTCGGATGGGAGCAAAGCATTGGATGGGTCGGAAAGAGACACGTCACAAAGGATGAACTTGGGGAAAACCGAGCGGTCACCAACACCATGCAAGCAGGGATGAGATCCGATCGGCACGAAGTCCGACCATCCCCCGATCGGCACTAGTCCGGTCGGTGGCCCGTGGGGACGGTTTCAACAACTCCATTTCCTTGACGACGCCTCAGCATCTTGACTACACAGCAGTCACTTTGTGGGGACAGTCAGCTCCACGCCTCTTCCTCGAACGGCACGAATCGGACTCCGCATCGCGTGTTGGGCACCCATGCTGCCAGAGCGTTGCACGCAAATCTGAAAGGAGCCTCAGAGGGCGGATCCGTAGAGTCCGACTAGATAGATGGTCTCACCTTCAGAGTCCGGGCCCTGGAGCCCAGAACTCTTCCAAACGACACAAACGTTGTCCAATGTTTGCTACTAGGAACAAGTGCATCGCTTCTAGTAACAATGTTTGCTACTAGGAACAAGTGCATCGCTTCTAGTAACAAGTGCCTTACTAGTAGTAACAAGAAGCTACTAGGGGCTCCTGGCCTTACTACTAGGAGCAAGAAGCTACTAGGAACAAGTGCATCGCTTGAGATGTGGGAGAACTCCACTGAGGCTCTCATTCTCAGCGAGCGTGCCGACGTCCCGTTTCCGCCGTGACGTCTTCGCCGGAGACAGCCCAGCCGGAGACGGTCGTTTTCACTGAACATACGACTCTCAAAGTCCACACGGAAGTGGGAAACTGGTTCCACCACCTGTTTGTCGGGGCCAATCTTCCATTTCCATGATTTTTTCAGGGGCCTAGGTTGGAGGCCATTGCTGTTAGAAGCAAAGAAAGAACAGGAAGAAAGGTCTACTACATTTAGGAGCAAGGACGCTACTAGGCGCCCCTGGCATCGCTACTAGGAGCAAGGACGCTACGAACGGGGACCATTTTTTGTTCCGGTGACCTCCTTCGCTTCTGCAAACCAAGGCACTGGGGCTCTTGTCGGCCGCGCGAACTTAGGAGCTCCAGTGGTAGTTGACCCTGGACCTGGGTCAATGAGGAATACCTACAGAACTACTAGCGAGGCACTTGTTCCTACTAGCTTCTTGTTACTACTAGTAAGGCACCTGTTACTACTAGCGTGGCACTTGTTACTACTAGCTTCCTTCTGATTTGAGTCAGACATCCAATTTTTGGGAAATCTTGCCTTTGCCATGTAGAGTACAAGGACAACTGCTGAATATTTGTAGTATAGAGGTCAGGGACATTTAACCCCAATGTGACGCTGGCGACAAAAAACGCTCACTGAGCATCCCTGCCCATGCCTTGATCTGCACTTGAATTTGCCTTAGCTGCCGAATGATCGTGCCTTTCTTTTGCCTACAAAACGCATTTCCGTCCTCCCCAAAGCTGTGGTTGGAAGAAACAGGTCTTCCTCGGTCTGGCAGGCAACGGTAATCCTGTTGGATTCACATTGAAGATCCTTCCTCACGGAACGGGCATCAAGTGAAAAGCTGTTTGTACTGCAAACGGACATCTTCGAGACTTCTACACCACCATCACTATTAGGTTGGAGGCCATCGCTATTAGGTTAGAGGCCATCGCTATTGGGTTGGAGGCCATCGCTAGTAGGTTGGAGGCCATTGCTACAGTACGTACTTGAAAGGGTGTTTCCAGATCTTGGAGACTTTTCCAACACACTCCCGGTTCCGACACGAGTAGTTTCATCTTCATCCATGGGCCATGCATGCTGGATCCGGATGTGATGAAAGGACCTGACTGTGCCCTCCCACACCTGTAGCCTCTCCAGCTCCCTATCGGGTGGGTCATGAGAAAAGTATAGAGACCCCTGACTGGATACCGCGTCTGGCGGCTTTTGGTGCGCTCTTCTTGGCTCTTCGTCCAATCCCGGCGGTAGTTTTTTCGTGAAACACGTCGGGACGTGATTGGTAAAGAATCAGCTCTCCCGGAAAAAAGACATGACGAAAAAGATATCAAACAGAACATCAATGCATCTGACCTTCATCTCTTTAACAGAACAACGCCCCTTGAATCACCATAGAGGCGCTCAATCTCAATCGCTAAGGGTTCAGCGACCTGGCCGAAATCGAAATTGCAGATGAAACGCATTGAAAAGCAAAGTCACTCTTCCAGTCCCATGCATTTGGGCGTCACGGACCGTCCGAAATCGACTCAGGGGCGGTTCAGGCTGCCGGTGCGTGAGGGTGACCAGTGATATGAGACGTCGGATGACGTCTGACAGCAAACAGGCGGCAAAATACTAGTTAGTAGCATCCTTGCTACTAGTAGTAATGGTCTCCAACCTAATGGCGATGGCCTCCACCCTAGTAGCTCCAGAAACTGAGGGGAAGCTTACTGCAATTGAAGGAGGCCCTCGGTATTGGGAGGTTCCCATGAACGACCTGTTCGCGTCACGGACTGTTCGCACCGTTGTCGACTCCAGAAGTGCATCCAATAGTCTCCAATCACCCAAAGCTACGACGGACGCAAGGACGCTTATTAGGTGGAGGCCATCGCTACGAACGGAACAACGGAGAACGCTACCTCTTCCTCTCTTCCTCCGATTGTTGAACAAAAAGCTGCCCTCCGACGGCGAGCCGCCCACTTTGGCCTGCTGTTGGGCATCCCCATCCAGCGGCAAATCCAAGGGCCCACTGGGTGCCCAAGGAATCAACCTCGCAGCTGGCTCCGGAGGGTCTCCAAAACCGCCACGTCGATACAAAACGGTCTAAAGGTCTAAAGAACCCGAAGTGAAGGGCCAAGGCACTTGTTCCTAGTAGCGAACCTTGTTACTACTAGTAAGGCACCTGTTACTACTAGCGTGGCACTTGTTCCTAATAGCTTCTTGTTACTAAACAAGAAAGAAAAAAGGACATTGGTGACAGCTTCGCGCTCCAGCCAAGAGGCTCTTGGACGAATCACTCCCGCTGTGTTGGCAATCGTCGGCTCGTGTCGCAAGAGTTGGGATGTGGTCATGTCATCGGGAGCCGACGATCAAACGACGAAACGAACCTCCAGACCTCCAAACCCAAACGTGCTTTTTTCTTCAATATCGCTACTAGGAACAAGTGCATCGCTACTAGGAGCAAGGACGCTACTAAGGGCTCCTGGCCGTACTACTAGGAACAAGGACGCTACTAGGAACAAGGTCCAGTCGTGACTTGTTTCCGCCTTGACACACCGACGCGACGTCTGGGGAGACCCAACTGGGTTCTCTTGCTTCCCTCCTGGCGCAGCAAATGACGCTGCGGCTTGTTGGCTGAGATCCAGAGACGCATCTTTCGGTCGCAAACCCTCCGAGAAGACCGACGCAGAAGGCTAGGGCCTGGGTGGGTCAGTTCTGAGGGATGGTCTTTTGCCGCTTCCATCCCCAGCTCGATAGATATGTGCTTTTGTGGTATCGAATAGTGCCTCAGTAGCTTCTCTGGAAAGTCGGTCATCGATCTCCGGGAGCTTTGGAACGCTTCCAGGCCCACCCATGTCCACCCGAAAGTCGCGATGGCCTCCACCCATCCTGGACCATCCTGGGATTTCTGGACCATCCTGGGTCCAGCTTGTATTCTCTTGACAGATCCTCCCACGGTTTGAAAGACACGACGGCCCCCTCCCGAGGTCCAGTTAGCACATCGACCCAGCAAAGCGTTTTGGTCGTTTACAAGACCTACAAAGAAACCCTACAACAGGATAGAACTCTCAGGCCCCTCAACAAACATCTTGAAGATGAAACTGTGCATGTCAGTGGGATACGAGTAATGCCCTTGTTGCTAGTAGCGATGCGGCGATGCCCTTGTTACTACTCTTGCGAGGATACCCCAAAGTAGCAAGGAAATGGCATGATCCGATTTGGGGGTCCTGCACTGGGCGTTCACAGGCATATGGCAAGATGTACTTGCTCTTCAGCATCTCCAGCTCCTGCGAGACTTGGAGTCTGCTTAGTCGACTCATGAGGCCCCAGAGTCGACTCGAACGTCTTGAAACGCCTTCCAACCACCATGAGTCGTCAACCATGAGTTGCTGCAGAATAAAAGGACACGGTGTCTTGGATGCACTTCACCGGTTCGCAAAGAAAGGGAACCCGTCTTCAACTCGGAATGGTTCAGGATGCGCCACCGCGCCACCGCAAAATGGTCGTGAAACAAAACGGTCGTCAACTCTTAGGGAACTTCATAGGGCCAAAGGTCTTCAAGTATTCCTGGTCTATACCTAGATCTTCCGCACACTTTCTGCCTTTGAGCTGGTTTTATAATCGGCAAACATTTTGCACAGTTGGAAGATCTAAGCTGCAGAATGAAGTATTTCCTTTTTTGGGTCTGAGCTCCTTTTCGATGCTTCGTTCGGGTGACCTGGAAGTGAAAAAACACCTACCGGAAGAAAACGACCGGAAGCTGGCAGCGGTTTACTTTGAGTGGTTGGTGCTGGAGGAGTAGAACGATCCCTGGTGTGCCTTCCAAAATGGCACACAGTGGAAACCAGCTGAGAAGTGTGCAACTGGACTCTGAGCAGGACCGTGAACGCTTCACTTCTTGATGCGGAAGAAATCCGGATGATGTGTGTTTCTTTATTCTCTCCACAGTCAGCGTGGTGCTTCATGGGTTTGTACACTGGGCAAAGCTTCCCAATTGTCTGATATGTCCTCCTCCTGTATGTGAAGCAGCTGTGCAAACATCTGCAAACTACGATTAATTCGGGGCCCAATGATAACAACTCCATCCCATGGGTGATGCTTTGAATCTACCCAACACTTGGACTCTTGAAATGTTGCAACTCTCTGTCTCTTTCGGATCTCTTTCATGAAGAGTATTTCAGGTTAGCCTAGTAACGTCCGAACGTTCCGTTCATAGCGATGGCCTGGCAACGTACTTGTCCTTCTTACTAGTAGCCTGTTGCCGTGCCCTCTCTCACTTGAACAAACATCACGTCCACGACCGACCCCCGCGGACATGTGTCGATGAACGCCGGACCTGTCGGAATCGTTGCCGCTGGTCGCTGTCCAGGCTAGCCCCTGCTGGGTGAGCCCCGCCTACGACGCAGAAATTGGACGGCCAAAAGCATCCAAGCTGCTCCAAGCTCCCTACTGTTTAAGCAACACGCACCAAATCAACCGCCAGGCAGAGATTCTGACATGATGATGTTAGGTCTGCTCGTGACGAGCACTCAAGTCCATCACCTACCGAACGGTTCGAATCGGCCATTGCTAGTAGTAACAAGGATGCTACTTGCTCGGGGCTCCTGGCCTTACTACGAACGGAGCGATCGGACGCTACGAACGGAGAAAAGGGCGTCGCTACGAACGGAGCATTCTTACTGCTAGCCTCGGAGGCGTCGGCCTTGTTGGCGTTCCCGCGCCTGTGGGGCCTGCCGCCCGGGAGCGTCGACCCTGGCGTTCTTGGAAGTCGCCCCTCGCTTTGTGCAGCTCCGCCATGATCTCGGTGACCTTCCACCTCCGGACGAAATCCGGACGAGGACGAGTCCGATGTTTGGAAAGAAACACATGAAACAATCTTTTTTTGGAATCCAAATCAATGAGCAACATTGAAAAGCACAGGTGTTTTTGGGGGTCTTTAGAATATGTTCAATTTTCCCTCATCTGGATCTCACCGTTGACTTCTAGCGGATGCACCGGTCCATGAGTGGAACGGTCTGAGGGCTCTTCACTGTGTGATCGGTTTTCGAGATCTGTAGGCGAAGAAACTCAAGTCTGAAGAAACGCACGAGCCAAACATTTTGCTCCAGAGCCACACAGCCAACGTGGAATTCTTCCTTTTCGGGAGTGCGAAAAGTGGTGGCCGAAGCTTTCACCTTCCGCTTAAGCCCAGCTTCTGGAACTGATTGGCAGTGGCCGGGTGTGGAGGCCATCGCTCTTGGGTTGGAGTACTTCTCGTGTGTGGCGCTTTTTCTGAAAGAGAGAGAGACCTCGTCACACAGTGGATGTAGGGCAAGGACAAGCACAAGATTCAAATTTCCAATGCTTGAGATCGCACCAAGGGCTTTCGTCGCATACCACTACGTGATGTTAAGACACACCGCCACGATGAAACTGACCAGCATCCCTTTGGCTTGCGCGCTAATGCGCGTGTGAAAGCTCTGACCTTCAAATGCAAGCGAGGCCAACGTGACCGGTGCATGTGCACCCACTCTGAGGTTTGGAGAAGGCATCCACCGGATTGAAGAGCTTTCATGAGCTTTCTCTTTTCCTCCTCGCTCCCACGAGCATGAGTCGGTTTTGGACTGACGTACCAGTGACGGAGAGGCAAGATGAAGTTCAGCTCACACACCTGCAAGTCTTATCTACGGGCTCCTGGCATCGCTACGAACGGAGCGTTCGGACGCAAAAAAAGGAGCTCCTGGCCTTACTACTAGGAGCGTTCGGACGCTACGAACGGAACATTTCGGGCATCGCCTCTTTGAGCCAGAACATGCGAGTCGTCGCTCGAACCTCCACGCCGACACTCGTCCAACGGCCCGCCTTTCTTCCTGAGGGAACATCTTTTCTTCGTCCACGGGGAAGATGGTGCGCCTGGGGGAGATGGATCAAACAGCCACGCCGACGGATTTTCGACAGCACGAAACACCTGGTGTGCTCAAACATCCGAGTGGTCCCTCAATTCATCAGCATGCCCTGGGCAACAAGTTGACAAGTTCTACACGAGAATTTGCTGTGGTCTTGTGGGGTTAGCCATGGTTCAATGTCCATCTCCCATTGAATTGTGAACTCTGAGACTCGCCGAGCAAGAAACACAGCATGCTTATGCATGCCTGCTCTTCTACAAGGGAGTTGTACATCTGCCGAACATCCGCAAACACTTGAATCTGCTCACTGAAGGCAATGTTTCGGTTGCTTTCTCCTTTCCAGGTTTCGCCTTCGGGATGCCTTCCGACTTGTGAAACCCTTCCTTACTAGCAATGGCCTCCAACCTACTGTAGCGATGCCCAACCTAGTAGCGATGCCCTTGTCACTAAGAGTGATGGCCTCCAACTGCAAAGCAGGCTCCAACTCCGCTTCATTAGAAAGACATCGGTTCATTTTGCTCCACCGGAACCCTGGTAGCGCTCTGCACCGCTCCGGCTAGCCGATGGGACGAGTGGCCCCGGGACATTGGGCGGCTCCACGGGAATGTCCTCTGCCTCCCCGTAGAGGTGGCTGATGATATCTGGCGGAACAGCGCGGAAGAGCTGGCGATCTCTGAAATCCAACGTCTGGGACCACACTCGTGCAAGACTGGGATGAAAGGGAAGAACATAACTTTGGTCTTGGCCTTATGATCCTTCTTTGCTTACGCGTCGGCTTCCGCAAAAGCTGACGCTACCCATGCTTTCGCTTTCGCGGTGATGCTTCTTCTCTTATTAGGGCTTATATACGCGTTGCGTGTTTGACGTGTCGGAATTGTTACCGGTGTTGTACCACCAGAGTGGAACCTTGAAACACTCTTCCTTGGCACTATGGTATGATTCACTTGGTGGAGCCCACTGCTTCTGGACCAAGCAGGGACCGAGCAGCGAACGTGTGGTGGCCAGGTGAATCGTCTTCTGCCCGGCAGTTCTGCTTGAGAGGTCTGCCCGCAAAATATGGACCAATAGGCAGGTAAGGAAAGGTGAGGGGAGGCCTCAGGCCAATAGGGGTTCCTCAGGCCTTGGCCTTTTGTCATTTCCATATCTCATCATCTCTTCTTCGCCCAGTGGGCCGCGGCCGCCACGCCCTCGCCCAGCGGAAGAACACCGCCTTTATCCAAAGGCTCACTCTCTTGGTAGCCGACTCCTGGCTCCACGCGCGAGTCCGCTTGGGACTGGTCTGAGACGAGATCCGGAAAAACTGGGAAACTATTTCTTCAAAACCCTTCAGGGCTCTAAGGGCCTCCCTACTTGCGATGGACTGGCGATTGCCTCCAACCTAGGGGGAATAGAGTGGACACCCCCAGTGGTTAATCCAATGGTTCGCCAAGTTGGCCGGCGCCACGGTGCCGTAGGGGCGGGGCGATGCGCAGCGCAGAGGCAAAGCCCGAGGTGTCGTCAGCCTGGGTAGAACAACGAAGGAGCGGATCATAGCGATGGCCTCCAACCTAGTAGCGATGCCCTTTGCTCCGTTCGTAGCTTCTTTTTGATGCTTTATTTTTCTTCCTTACCTTTCTTTCGACCCTTTGGTTCATGTTCCATGTCTTGCGAAGCAAAAGCTACTCCCAGAGCTCCGTCCCGGTCCTTCGAGCACAAGACCTATATGGCACTATAAACCGCCAGAAACCTCAGGGGTTACTATTACTACTAGCGTGGCACTTGTTACTACTAGCGTGGCACCTGTTACTACTAGCGTGGCACTTGTTTCTAATAGCTTCTTGTTACTACTTAAAAGACTAATTGCACACCATTTATTAGTCGACGTCCTTATTTATTCTGTTCTTTTTGTTTCTAGCGATGGCCTCCAACCTACTAGCGATCCAGCCGAGGGGATCCCAAGGTTCCGAGCCCAAACACCGTGGACTTCACAGTCATCCATCGGCCGGAACTTCATCATCTGCGCCTCGGAACGCTAGTAGTAACAAGTGCATCGCTTCTAGTAACAAGTGCCTTACTAGTAGTAACAAGAAGCTATTAGAAACAAGTGCCACGCTAGTAGTAACAGGTGCCACGCTAGTAGTAACAAGAAGCTATTAACTGCTTCTTCAGTTCTCGGTCTCCCTTGTTTTTGCCCGCGGGCGGTGGGTGTTGACCGAAGGCAGTACAACACTTGAATGCACACTTTTGGAAACAAAGACCGAACCTGCTTTTCAGAAAGAAACACATCTATATTAAATCCTTTGTATCAGGCGCTGTGTTGGTTTGGCGTTCTCAGCGGCTGTGGATGGGTCTTTTGCAATGAACCTATAGAAACATGACTGCAAAGACATACACAGAGCAATACACTCCCCTCGTGCTTCGAACCAACATCATCGCCGAACATGCCGAAACATCTTGCACGAGCACGCGTGATCGCACCCCCATGGCTTCCTTTAAGTCGTCCTTTCACGCGTCCACCCCCTTGGTCGGGCCGAAGCGAAGGGTCCCATCTTCCACCGATGGCCCGATGGCCTGAGAGTCTGGGTGCTTCCCCGTGCCACGTACCGCCGGGCCCACCTTGTTCGCAGCGGTCGGGGCAATGCCGAGCTGTGACAAGTAGCGGTTGAAGTATTCGTCCTCACCGCGCGCTGTGGAGGCCATTGCAAGTAGGTTGGAGGCCATTGCTATTCGGGTGGAGGCCATGACCAGTGGACTTTCAACATGGAGATCTGTGTTGATCGTTCTCGTCCGCCGTGCGGTGGAGAAAAAACAACCATGGTGACACGAAGCTTCAATATGCAAAGTATTGAACCGTTAGACTGTACAGCATTGGTTCCTCCCTTCTTTGCAGGCATGTCATACGACTCTAGTAGCGTCCTTGTTTCTAGTAGCGATGCCAGGAGCCCCTAGTAGCGTCTTTGCTCCTAGTAGTACGGCCAGGAGCCCCTAGTAGCTTCTAGTTCCTAGTAGCGATGCATACGACTCTAGGCCGATTTGGCTTTGTAGCATAGTGTATACAATCAGCAATATAAGACGTTCGAATAAAGTCAGGTATTCGCATATTGTTCATTCTTTTTTAAATATATACGATTTTGTCTTACAAACGACATTTCTAGAATGCTGTGGAGGATGTCAATGACATCAATCCACAGAATCAACCATATATTGACTCCACCGTACGCATATACTACTAGGACGCTACGATCGGGGCTCCTGGCATCGCTACGAACGGAGCGATCGGACGCATATTGACTCCACCCATATACGTTTGGATTAGTAGATTCCTTATAATTACAATTCTAATTAAATTCTTCTTGTTACTACTAGTAAGGCACTTGTTACTAGTAGCGATGCACTTGTTCCTAGTAGCGTTTGGATTACGTTTGGATGGCGAGAGCACGGTGTTGAGCACAGATCCGTGGAGCGCTCTGCCGTGACCCTGCTCAGCCGTGGGACTTCCGTCTGCTGATTCAGTCCACGCCACGGAAAAACAACTCCTAAAAACTCCAGTCTTCACCTGCACAACTCCTTCCACTAGACCTTTCTTCCTTTTCTTTCTTCGTTTCTAGTAGCAATGGCCTCCACATAATAGCAAACTACATCCGTGCTTCTCTCCTTCTCTTTCACCAGCCACTTTTGCAGCTTCAGAGTGAGTGCCGGCTTCTGCTGTGACTGCAGTCTCATTCGGGACACCCGCGCGCGTTCCCTTGTGGAGCCCACAGTGTTGCTGTTGCCTGACGGTGGCCCCTTTGCAGCAATTGATAGCAATTGTCCGCCTTGCCCGGCACTCCCAAACACCGTGATGCCGCTGCCGAGCTCAAAGGGATGAACATGGAAGAACCATCCGCTGCCACCTGTCGGCCACACGCCACACGCCCTACCTAAAACCAAGTTTCCACACATCAATCACACTTCGCAACCTCTCTGGACTCGCATGGCTCGCAGATCGCTCCTGAACTGCCCGGAGGATGTCATCCTGCCAGCCACGGCGATGCGGATCGAAACGGTTGAGGAACAAGGTGCATTGCTAATTACTAGTAACAAGAAACTACTAGTAGCAAGGTGGATTGCTACTAGTAGCAAGGACGCTACTAGTAGCTAAGGGCATTACTACTAGTAAAAAGAAGCTATACCAGTAAAGCAAACCATCGAAGCGGTGGCGGACAACAAGACGCCATCGATGGGCTTCGAAAGATGCAGCCCAAGTGTTTTTGGGGCAGCCCACGTGGACCTTGGCCACTTGAATGAACACCTTCGGTGCTTCTTCTGTCCATTGATTGGATGACTCTATGGTGCTCCATGGTGCTCCCACACCCCAGCCAGTCGCATGGCATGGCTTCTCCATGGGTCGCTGGTCGCTGGGCGTTCTCCCGCGCCGTGAGCGTGGATCCCACGGCGAGGTTGGTCAAGTCGTTTTCCGCTCCGAAGACGGGACCCGGGAAGCCACTACTCTTTCACTATCTTTGACCCTTTTGCAAGAGTGAACCACCTGGCTCAGCGGGTAAGGGTTCGACACACTCACCAGGGGCGACGCCGGCAGAGCTGAACTTCGTGCCTGACTGTGGGCGGCCAGGTTCGCTCCTTCCTTGAGCTGGATCACCACCTGGAGGCCATGTTACATGTTGTGCAAGGGAAACTATGAGGTTGGAGGCCATCGCCATCGCTATTAAGAACAAGGGCATCGCGACGTTCGTAGCACGAAGCTACGAACGTAGCTCTTGGCTCTTGGCATTTCTACTAGTAACCAAGAAGCTAAGCTAGGTTGGAGGCCATCGCTCTTAGGTTGGAGGCTATCCTGAAGAGGGTGAAGCAAACAACCATCTGCTTGGACGTCCGGTTTGGCGATCGAAGTCGACTTCGGGGGGACGACTTCGATCCAGAAGTCGTCCATGAGATGTCCCGGGCCTCCTGTCAGCCCCGCTCCTAATAGCGATGGCCTCCTGTCGCTACGTTTGGACCTCAAAGCGTTGACCGGTTGAGACACAGCTGGCGTTCTGCTCGCGCATTCCGATGGCAATCTCTCTCCACCGACGGGTCGTCCATGTCTCGGATCTCGCAAGCATTCTCAGCTCTCTTGTTCCCATAGTAGTATGGCCAGGAGCCCCTAATAGCGTCTGAACGCTCCTAGTAGCGATGCCAGGAGCCCCTAGTAGCTTCTTGTTACTAGAAAACTCCAACGCCATAGTAAAAAGCTTCTTGTTACTACAGGTGAAACGATTCCCAAGGAAGCTTCTAGCTACCGGATACGTGGCAAGTCACACAAGCGATGCCGCAGCACCAACGAAGAAATGGAATAACATCAGCAATCTCCCTCTTGCCGTGCCTCCATTTGTGCTCGGATGCTTTTGGATCCAATCAAAGGTGACGAACGGAGCTGATCATGTCAGACTTGCTTGGAGTTATATATACTTCTTGTTTGTTGCACCTACTTCGTTTGCTCTGTTTTCAGGTTCGCTGAGGGGAAACCGATCGAAACAAAACACCAACCATCTTGGTCGTGTCTCGGTTGATTGTACTTGTCAAAACAGAAGTCCCAAGAACACAAAAATCATCAAGAGCGATCCAGGTGTGATCGAGTTGCTTGTGGGCCACGCTAGACTTGCACCGTTGAACTGCGCCCTCTTTCATCATGTCAGCGTCAAGCCAAACGGCACAAGAGGGCAAGTCAGAGTGTCCAGCATAACAGTACCCGAAGGGTACCCGAAGGGTCCTTAATGAAACCCGACATCTTCGTGGTCCCAACTGACTATCAGGGCAAGAAATATACCCACAGGGGAAGCGAAGCCGACATGGTCTTGGGGGAGAAACCAAGAGTTAGTGGAAGTTCAATGATCTTCAGGACTGCTTGTGCGTCTTGTGCATCTGTGGGCTGTTTGCTCAGGTAACTTGGCCGACTCCGCACGAAGCCGTGCAGTGGTTCTCCAGCGAAGGTCGATCTGTGGGGCGAGTTTCGCACGGGAAACCACATGCAAACCCAGAGGTGTCTTGAAATCGGCAGACCTGTCCGGCTTGGTGCTTTTCTTCCCTAGCGATGGCCTCCAACCTAGCGATGGCCTCCAACCTTGGTGCTGTTCTTCTCTTTTAGAGGATCTTTGAAGGTGAACTTCGGAAAAAACAACGACCCGCTGCCCTTGAGGGCCTTTGACTGGCTTGTGGGCGAAGAAACCATGCTGTCCGGGCCCGCCAATTCAGAGTGTGCCGAAGACTGAAAATGGGATTCGGATAGCTGTGAAAAAGAAAAACAGAGAAAAGCATGATATCTTAGGAGATTTCGACAAAGCAAATCTCTTAATGTCGGTAGGCTTTGACCCAACTCTTCTGATACTAGGACACAGACCTCTCGTCATTCCCCTGGCGTTCGCCAAAACCGGGCTTTTGGCTAGGTGCTTTTTCCAGGTAAGTTGAAACCTGGAGGAGTGGAGTAGCTGTTGCCCTTGCCACTGGTGGCAGTTTTGAGTCAGTTCTAACAGTCTGGTTTTGGGTCAACCCTTCAAGGCCACCCTTGGAAACAAACCAGTGATAGATACTAACCTTCCAAACACTCGCATTTATCTGCCAACCCTCGGGGACTCCCCCGGGTATAAAGGAAAAACCTCTTCGCAACACAACCACCTCTGGCCGTTTCCATCCTTTTTCTTGGGGCGCTCCCGAACTCTTCTCTGCTTCATCCGCCCAGCTTGTAGGCACAAGGGCATCGCAGGTGCATCGCTATGAACGGAGCGATCGGACGCTACGAACGGAGCAAAGCTACTAGGAGCAAGGACGCTACGAACGTACACTCCGAGACCCTGGTCTCTCTGCCGACGGATATCGACCCACGACCTGGGCTCGGCGGAGTTGCTCGGCGGGAGAAGCGTTCCAAACCGGACGAGCTTGATGGACTGGAAACACGTAAGAAGGAGACTTGATCCACACTGTTCAGGCAACCAGCACTGAAAACACCTGCGGGGGCTCATGGGGGCTGGAGTTCGAACACCTGAAGGTCCGAGAAAAAGAACGAGTTGGGGGGGGCTCCCATTCCACTTAGAGTTTCCAAAAAGGACCCCGCAAGGTGCAATCCCTGCTCATTCTCGATGTCCATCTGGAAAATAGTCGAGTATTGAATTTCTTGGTGCCATAAAACTTCTTAACACCATTACCAGCCGTACCAGAGGTCCTCCATTCAACAATATAACCATGTAGAATCCTCATGTCTCCTCCTTTTGCTGGACATGCATCCTCCTCATGGATTGGTTTGGATCAACCAAGAATGTCCTTTGAGTGATATGGACGTGTCATAGGGAGATCTCCCGAAGACCCCCTAAAGGAAGGAAAATAGACCAGTCCACCCATGGGGTCAGGGCATCTCCCTATTAAAACACCTACCCAAATTGACTTGGCCATCGCTAGGGGCGGTTGGAGGCCATTGCTACTAGGTTGGAGGCCATCTCCCGATTAAAAGCCATATCCAAATGAGATCACATGAGTTTCTCCATGCTACTAGGAACAAGTGCCACGCTAGTAGTAACAAGTGCCTTACTAGTAGTAACAAGAAGCTACTAGGGGCTCCTGCCTTACTAGGAACAAGAAGACTACTAGAAACAAGTGCATCGTTCCAGGTCGCAGGGAGTGCCAGGCACCCACGCCAGGCTCCATCCAGGTCCTGTGATGAGCTCTCTGTGACGAACTCCCAGCATTTGAGTGAAGTTAGTCGACTTTCAGGGATTTGGGAGCATCACAAAACATCTTTATACCATCAACCATCCGCAAAACTGCTGCTGGAAAGAATCTTTACTTGGCTCGGTTGGCCGTGCGAAGTGTCGCAATCTCTTCGCTGTCGACCTGACCAGGAGAATCTTGCGGGGAAAAACTTTTGAGTTCCCCTAGACCAGCACGCCGTAGACCTGGCCTCACCAAACCCATCACATTTGCGAAATAAACCGGGGATGGCCATCGCTAGTAGGTTGGCGGCCATTACTAGTAGCAAGAAGCTACTAGGGGCTCCTGGCCGTACTAGGAGCATTCATAGAAGAAGCTGGTAGGCTGAAGGCTGCTACTCCGACCGTCTCACCAGTGGGTCGCTTCCTTTTGGGTCGCTCCGGAGGACGGTGCTCCGGAGCGACGCTTCGCCGGGTCTTCCTCGGTCCGAGACCGTAGTGGACGACCGGCGTTCGAAGACCCGGCCATGTCGTGCCTCAGATGATATGACCAATCCACCGAGCCTTTAGCAATCCACCGAGGAATCCCAGGAAGGCCGGTTGGCTTCAAAGAAACCTCAGGTAGAAGTAGATCTTCGGACCGGCAAATTGAACCACAATCTGCAAACATTGCGCCGTATTTTTTTAAAAGGAGGTTTTCCCCAGCCCCAGCCAAATGATCTCCATTCCAAAGTCTGACTGGCAGCGTTTCTGGCAGCCTCTGTTCTAGGAGAGTTCCTAGGTCACTATGGATTGAACAACCTCATGTTTGTGGTCTTTCCCATGCCGAAAGTGCCGGCAAAAAATGAGGCAAACATCGTCATTCCATGTCGGCAGCGTGTTTTTAAGCAGTTGTTGATGGTTGAAAATGGTTGAAACAACTCTAAGCGGTCCACAAGTTGCACATAGCCACTGGCCACAGGTTCGCTTGATCCCTCATAGCACGCAGCAGGTGATTGGTGATGCTGGTTGATCCACAGCCTGTGTACGCAAAGAGTTCACTGACCATAGACTACTGTACCCGGAGTCTTACCTGGAACGTGCGAACGGAGGTGATACCCCTGCCGAATGTTCGGCATCCCAAGAACGACGCTGAACACACGTTTTGCACATGTCGCAAGCAGCAAGAACTGAAACTCTATAACTCTAGTTTCAAGAAGCTCCTAGGAACAAGTGCATCGCTACTAGTAACAAGTGCCTCACTACTAGTAACAAGAAGCTACTAGGAACAACCTCTATAACTCTAGTTTTTTCACAGGGCGACCCAAGAACTCACGCAGCCATCCCCACCGAGTGGCCCCAGTTCAGCACACACTCGTCGTCCATTCTGCCGCGCTCTCAAACCATTCTGCCGCCAGTCGTCCACTAGGGGCTCCTGGCCGTACTACTATAGGAGCAAGGACGCTACTAGTAACCAGTGCCTTACTAGTAGTAACAAGAAGCTAGTAGAATTAAACTAAGTTAATTAGAATTGTAACTACTAGCAAAGGAATCTATTAGGACCTTTTCGCGCGCGCGTGGGGGGGTAGGAGCAAGGACGCTACTAGGGGCTCCTAGTAGCTTCTTGTTACTACTAGTAAGGCACTTGTTACTAGTAGCGATGCACTTGTTACTAGTAGCGAACCTTGTTACGGGAGCATCCTTACTACGTTCGTAACAAGAAGCTCCTAGGGCGCCACGGTCTCGGTCTCGCGTCTGGCACGACCACGTCCCGACGGGTCCGCGTCTCGACGCACGACACGGGCGCGGAGCGGACACCGAGAGAACGACGGCGTGGGCGACGCTGTCGGAGCGTCCATGCGATTTTGTTACTAATAGCTTCTTGCTACTAGTAGTAAGGCCAGGAGCCCCGTTCGTAGCGTCCTTGCTCCTAGTAGCGATGCACTTTGTTACTAGTAGCGTCCATGCCATACAGGTACATCGAAATTCAAGGCCCAAGGCTTGGAGTGATGAAGCATTGGAGGTTCACGTTGTTACTGTGTATAGTAGTTACTGAGGTACATGACAAATCTGAGGTCGGATCATGTCGGATTGTATCAGGTCAGACACCTTGCATCTGAACCCAGTGACCCGAGTTGAGTCTTCCCGTTCCCACCGCAGCAACCTCAGCCAAGGGTGAAGACCCTCTTGGCCCTTCGTTTCTAGACCCTCAATCATGAAGTCACGACCGGTAAGGATCCTTGGACCCTCCTTAGAAGGGGTTGAACCCTCTATAACAAGGGTTTGTACCCTCAAAACCCTGGTTTTTGAGGGTGCAGATCCTTAGGGCAACCAACTTCCAACAAAATAGGAACACCCATCTTTCACCAGCACCATTTGTCCGCCAACTCCGTCACGCCGTCGCCCTTTTTCGTTGCACGAAGAGCAGATGCTTAGAGCACCTGCGGAGGGTGGACGAAATGGCGTCGTTGTCCTTTCTGGGGCCAATTGGTCACCTGTCACCAGCTTTTGTGGGGCCATTTTCACTTGACTTGCTTGAAGTCTGCCTTTTTCTTACCGCTCCAATATTTCTCATTGAAGAAGGAGCACCCCTGGGAATTCTGTCAAAGTTCTAGTTGCAGTCATTCCAGTCACTTAGAAGGCGCGAAGAATCGGCAAGACACGTGCAAACACTGGACACTTGCATGTCTTTTTTAAAAGGCGTGGAAGTTCGATATAGATGGAGGCTGCAAGTTTCGACTGTATGTACCGGAGACGCCGGAGAAATAACTTATTCTTTCCGGAGGGCATACCTTTGCTTGGGACCGTCACACAGCCAGACAACCGATTCAAGAGAAACTCCTCAACCGATTCGCTCCCGCGCTGGCGCTGCCCACATCCATCGCCTGGCTCGAGCGTTTCTTCTGTAGCACCTGATCCAGCCACGCTGCAGAGGTCTGTTGGTTCAGCACACTGCGCACGGAGGGGAAGTGCCCATGCTGCACGAAGCCGGGTTCTTGACCTTGGATAGGATGAGTTACGGAAGAGGCCACCAAAAGTTCGAGGACTTCCTCCTCAAGAAGCGACCGCTCAGAGCAGTTTGGAGGTTGGGCGCAGGGCCATGGACTCTTTTTTGCTTTTGCAGGAGACAGATTCGCAGTTCAAAAACTGAGTGGAGTGAAGCTTGGAGCAGCTTCCCCCGTCAGCAATTGATTGCTTTTGTGCACCCGGCTGTGGTGGTTCTTTGCACGGCAAGTAGGACATTGGTTGGTCATCCTAAAGCTGTTCAGTTGAGGGTCAAGCATCACCAAGAAGTGTGAAGAAAACACATCTGGAGATCTGCGAAGTGCAGATCCTTTGGGCTGTGAGATAACAACACTCTTGACATCTGCCAGCAAAGACTATTTGCATCTGCGACAAATTGCTTTGCGTCTTGAGAGGGACTTGGCATGGGTTTGCAGATACTTTCTGTTGTTAAGGCCACACCTTTTCTGGGAGATGAGACGTGGACGCCGCCACCAATAGGGAGATTGTTGTCAGTTTGTCGGGCTACCATTTTGTTTGATCATTTGGGGGATTTCATCGCTTGGTCTATCCATGACCAACATGTTTTAACTCACGACGACTTGCCGAGCTGGGCGACTGGAAGGGACTGCGTAGTAGGCCACTCGATCGCTGATCTGTGCCAGAGCCACGTCGTTGGCTAAACATCCAGGTGTGGAGCTGTTCCAGATCTCCTGGGAACGCGAGGAACGAGGCGACCGGGGCGCTCCGCCGCTTTTGATTCCGACACTTTGGATCTTCATCTCACGGGGTTGTCGCCTGCAACCTAAGAGCCATGGGCTCCAACCTAACGGCGATGGCCTCCAACACAGGTGCAATGGCCTCCAACCTAATAGCGATGACCTCCAACCTAAGAGCGATGGCCTCCAACCTAACAGCGATGGCCTCCAACCCAAGAGCCATGGGCTCCAACCCAATAGCGATGGCCTCCAACCTAACAGCGATGGCCTCCAACCTAATAGCGATGACCTCCAACCTAATAGCGATGGCCTCC